TGGAATCTGATCTTTCAGATGATCATAGAGAATGTTTCGAACTTTTTTCTTGATGCCACAGCAGGAAAGTGATTGTACAATTCCCCATGGGTTTTTGGTAGTTTCACCTATTTAAAAGTTTATTTTTTAGTTTTCAACTCTGATTCAATATAGATTATATAGGAAAATAAGCTAATACAACAACTTACCAAATAAAAATATATTGATTGAAGCGGCCAATGTAAATAAACCGCCAACAAAACCGAAAACATCAAAAAAAGTTAAAATCCTGAATGAGAGTATTGAATATTAAAAAATTATTATTAGTAAATTTGAATATAAATAATAACTTATTTGAACTTTATTAGTAAATTTGAATGATTAATTTAATTTTATAATATGACATTACAATTTTTCTTCTTCAGTTACAATCGTAGTTGATGTGCAAGCTATCGAAAAAATGGTTAGATTTCCTAAATCTGGCATAGAAACAGTTGCTAAATAAGAGAAAACAAAACATGCTGTCAGATTTAAGTATATAAATAAGTTACATTTTATTATATTAATGTTTACCAAGTTTTGAAGTAATATATGGTATTCGCTCATGGCGAGGACTCAAGAATAAGCTTTTTGGTATATCAACAAGTACTTTACGAATTTCTTTAGTGTATCTTAATATGTGTACCTGCTCAATATAAAAAATTTTATAAATTAGATTATAAAATTATAACAATACACACAAATATATAAACAGAATTAGCCCTAGTATAAACTAAATTTTACACACATTCCCTGGCCCAATTAAGTGTGTATTCGCATACTCAGAATCACCTATAAAGTCTGAAGATTCTTTAGATAATGAGTTTAATAAATTCTGATTATTTCTAATTGCATCCATTTCTACAAAGTAAAGATCACTTTAATAATAGAATATTTAACACATCAGTTATGAACATTTAATAAAAATTTTGATAACTTGCCTGGATCAAATACTTGAACCACAGTAGTGCTTATTTGAATTGTTTGGTTTGAATTATTCACTATGTTTATATTAAAAGAAATATAAGTCATATTCAATGATCCTGTTTCGTTTATGTGAAGATAAGCACTAGGTGCATCTTTGTTTAGATGACTTGTTAATGTTAAATCTGATTTGAAAATAGCGATGAAAGGAAATGATGCCGTCGAATTATATATATATTTTATTTTTTGAGTGCAATCCAATTGACTTTCATTATATATATATCCTTAAGGAAGTTGAATTGGCGATTAATAAATAAATTATAAAAAGGCTTGAAAATCTTTATCTTCATAAACATTACCTCCATAAGCATATTCACAACTAACAGTAAAATTGTCATAAGAGACAATATACACATCTATTGATGTAAAAATATTTTGAATATACTGTATATTTTTTTAAATTAAAAACAACTAATAAAAAGGCTAAATAATCCTTTTTTACTTGGCGATGGAATACTGGGAAATTTTTCTTGTTT